TGATACTTTTAATACCCTATTAATATCCCCTCTTGTTCTGTCTTGTGTTAATGCCACATCACCCCTCCCACCTCACTCAAATGTAGATATAAAATCGGAGATACGTAAGTTCTATTCAGTTGTGTATTTGTGAACTAAAGTCTTTGAAAATGTAATAAGTTTTACGAAACGCGCCCGTGTCGCGTCAGACTAGAAATAAAAATGAATTTTGGAGAATTCATTTTTGATTTACCTCCAACAGTGAAGCGTAATGTACGAAAGATTGAGAAAATTCGTGTTAGAATTATTAATCTTACTTTTTCGGTCATATTTAATAATATATGTCTACAGGAAAGACTGCTACCAAAATATACTAATATATATATATATATATATATATATATATATATATATATATATATATATATATATATATATATATATATATATATATATATATATATATATATATATATATATATATATATATATATATATATATATATATATATATATATATATATATATATATATATATATATATATATATATATATATGTATATATATATATATATATATATATATATAGGTATGTATATATATAATATATATAATATATATAATATATAATATATGTATAATATATATATATATAATATATATATATATATATATATATATATATATATATATATATATATATATATATATATATATATACACACACACACACACACACGGCCGGCCGAGCGGACAGCACGCTGGGCGCGTGATCCTGTGGTCCCGGGTAAGATCCCGGGCGCCGGCGAGAAACGATGGGCAGAGTTTCCTTCACTCTATGCCCCTGTTACCTAGCAGTAAATAGGTACCTGGGAGTAAGTCAGCTGTCACGGGCTGCTTCCTGGTGTGTGTGTGTGGAAAAAAATAGTAGTAGTAGAAACAATTGATTGACAGTTGAGAGGCGGGCCGAAAGAGCAGAGCTCAACCCCCGCAAGCACAACTAGGTGAATACATCTAGGTGAGTACACGCACATACACAGATAGGTAAGATATGTACATATACACAGGTAAGGTAAGTACACATACACAGATAGGTAAGGTAAGTATACATACACTAGGAAAAGTTCCGAGGTATACAATACATACATATCATGTGACTCCCTCACACCCTCTCCCTCACCCGCTGAGCAAGTGTTGTCCACCTGAGCATACGCAGTGACCTGCCTCCTCCCCCGCCTCACCTCCCCCCCCCCCCGGCCCCCAGCATGATAGAAACTGCCTCAACAGAGAACAGAATAACAAAGACAAAACATCAATGTTTGAGTCTCATCAAAACATCCTTCAAAACGGGCAGAAGAAACAAAATAGCAATCGTAGTTACGAATACAATTGGAACACTCAATAATACAATACCGGAATGTAAGGAAGCAACAACAACAGATGAGGAGAGGCGCTGAAGGTCATATAAACAACTCCTTTGTTGTGATCAGTTGTGAAGGGAAAAACAACTGGACAATTACACTGAGACATCACAATAGCTTGTTGACCAGACCACACACTAGAAGGTGAAGGGGCAATTGATTTGAGAATGGTCCAGGACGGACCGAAACGTCGTCGTCCCTTCACCTTCTAGTGTGTGGTCTGGTCAACATACTTTAGCCACGTTATTGTGACTCCTCGCCTACATCACAGTAGTGTGATGCATCAAATGATTAAATAACGCGTCTAAGATCCTCTCGGAGGCAGGTTCGAACCCTGATCACGGCCCTGGTGGATTTGTTCAACTGGACAATGTTACTGGCATCAGTGTTGTTGTTAGTTGTGATCAACAACCTTCCTGTGACTGGCAGCAAGTCTGCTAGTAACGGGGAACTGTAATTGTGGCCAAATTGATTGGGAATTAATGGATCTTAGAGTGGGTAAAGGGACGAGGTTACCTTACCTATCGGGGGTCAAGGTTCCCGCGGCCCGGTTTCTGACCAGGCATCCTGATTGATGGACTGGTCAACCAGGCTGTTGGACACGGCTGCTCGTAGCTTGACGTATGAGTCACAGTCTGGTTGATCAATTCAATTTCTTTCTTTATTATGCACCCCATACCCATCCCGTGGGCGGTGGTGTAAAGGATTACAGAGGCACATAATCGGTTCAGGAACTGAACCCTCTAGTTCGTTTAGCCAAGCAAATGACATTCTTTTGACGCTAGTTACAAAATTATTAATGTTATATATACATGTACATATACTCGTACATACATGTACACATATATACGTATACATATATGCATACACATACATATTTAATCACCCACATAAATACACACATCAATAATCTTTTGTGTCACACGTGATTCAACAAGAGGCTCACAAGTCACTATATAAGGCACTTTACATCTATGATGAGTCGCACAGTTACTAGTCTTGTTGCACACCCACCCAACTGGGCGGCAGCTTTACAGTCATGTGCTCCACACCCACCCAACTGGGCGGCAGCTTTACAGGCATGTGCTCCACAACCACGCAACTGGGCGGCAGCTTTACAGTCATGTACTCCACACCCACCCAATTGGGCGGCAGCTTTACAGTCATGTGCTCCACAACCACGCAACTGGGCGGCAGCTTTACAGTCATGTGCTCCACACCCACCCAACTGGGCGGCAGCTTTACAGTCATGTGCTCCACACCTACCCAACTGGGCGGCAGCTTTACAGTCATGTGCATGCATTACCTACATTAAGCAAATTTTGGATACTTCGCTAAGATTTCGTGCAGCACATCATTATGAATGAAGTACTTACACATTTCTTGGACACTATTGATGGTGTTATCTCTAAATTCCGCGATTTTTTCACATTCCATTATATAATGACGCAAAGTATGCGAATAGTTCTGCTGACAGAGTTTACATTTAGTCAAATCTACATCAGCAGATGTTACAAATTCCCAGAGGTACTTGTAGTCGAGCCTAAGCCTAGCAGTGGTAACATCTAGAAGTCTGCTAACCTTATTGGATGACCCATAGACGTGCGGTTCCTCCTGCATAATAGAATGATGATAGATGGAGTAACAAGTGTGAATTTCACTTTGCCTCAAGTCTCCGAAATTTAGCTGATGTTCCCGGAATATTACTGCCCTCAGGCTGCTCAAAGGCAGTCCAAGTTGGTAATCCATTCCCTCTTTACGAGCAAAAGTCTTGGCCAACTTATTAGTTCTATCATGCATTCGGAAACTAATATGGGAAGGAATCCACAGGAGACAGATTCTGACTCCATCATTGATTATTTCATTATATCTGTATTTAGCTTCAGAGATAAGCACGTCACAGTTAGGCCTTGGGGAGCTGAGGGCAGTCAAGGATGACAAGGAGTCACTGGTTGATCAGGTATCCTTTGGAGGTGTTTCTCGTGTTCTCAGTGTGAGGTGTCGGCCAGTACCTTATGTGTAATGGAAGCATGTTGAACAGTCTCAGGTCTCTCATGTTGATAGAGTTCTCTCTCAGAATACCTATTGCACCTCTGCTTTTCAACGGGGACGTGGGGAGCAAAGCTGGAAGACGTAAAAGAAAGGAACATTCTAATGGAACTCTGTCATGGAGGAAACATCAACAAGTGTGAGAGGAAGAAGGGAACATGAAGCGAACAACCAGCAAGGCTTAGTCTGATTTCATACATTACAAGACGGACATTGATCTCTTAAGCTATAGTAGTCAGCAAAAAGCTCTCACAAATCACAACTGGAACGTGAATTTTATATTGTTCACAAACCTTTTAATTTGATTTGATTCCAATGTTTGGTTATGATATCATATTTGTACCATTTTTTTTATCCCAAGAAAGGAATATATTGTGTTTTTTCACTAATCTAACTCATCAATGTAGCGTGAACACATTTGCTATTTTGTAATTTGTTTTATTTCATTGTTCTCTTTTGTTTCATTATTTTGCAACTTAAGATATTTTATGGCAATATTATGACAATTTGCTGTCATCCTAATGAGGTTAAACCTCTTCTCTCCTCTAAGGTGATGAATAAGACTCATCATATGTAAGATTCATCACGAATATTGCGTCATGAATCTAATTCATCACGTTATATTCGTATATGGTATGTTCAGAACCAGTGAGATTAGTTGCCAGTTATGAGTATTAAACTTGTTCGAATATGCCAACACAAAATTGAGTTTCTTTTCTCTATGGGACTTTATGATAAATATCAATTACTGATTATATTATCACTGAGTCATTTAAAGAGTTTTTCGTTCTTTTCTTTCCCTTGTTTTCTCTTACGATCCTTTTCTTATTCCTATTACTATTTCCTTTATTACACCTTTCCTTTCGTACCTTTTGCCTTCCTTTTTTTCCTCTAAGATTTCCTTCTCCTCATCTCTCTTTCTTGCCTATTTATTGCCTTCGTCTCCTTCCCCTCATCTCTTGCCACGCTCCTGTGCCAGGTAAGTTAGGGGCTCACCATAGCCCGTGCTACTTGCCCCGCTCCTGTGCCAGGTAAGTTAGGGGCTCACCATAGCCCGTGCTACTTGCCCCGCTCCTGTGCCAGGTAAGTTAGGGGCTCACCATAGCCCGTGCTACTTGCCCCGCTCCTGTGCCAGGTAAGTTAGGGGCTCACCATAGCCCGTGCTACTTGCCCCGCTCCTGTGCCAGGTAAGTTAGGGGCTCACCATAGCCCGTGCTACTTGCCCCGCTCCTGTGCCAGGTAAGTTAGGGGCTCACCATAGCCCGTGCTACTTGGAACTTGTGCCGAGTAGCTGAATCTATAACAACATCAACAACTTCCCCTCATCACAATCGACTTCAGAATGGTCCAGGACGGACCGAAACGTCGTCGTCCCTTCACTTTCTAGTGTGTGGTCTGGTCAACATATTTCAGCCACGTTATTGTGACTCCTCGTCTACTGTTATAGAGGCTTAGCTCAATAGATGCTACCAACAGAGGCTCTATTACATCACTCATTATTTTTCTTAGATTCATAAGGTTCTTATATAAGGGTCAAATAAGACTTTATGTTCACAATTATTATTTTTTTTTTTAGTCCAAAGACATTTTTTTAATAAGAGAGTTATCAAAAGAGCAGCACAATGTCAGTATAGCTGAGTAGTTACTGTATACAGAATACACTTGTGTCGACACATAGTGGTGTCGACACTTAGTAGTGTCGACACGTAGTGAGGTCAGAAAATAGCAGTATCAGAATATAGGTGCTAGTAAGGGTTGGTGTATATCGTCTGGCTCTTGATCCTTGGATCTTGCTGGGGTAGTGGTGATCTCCTTATGCAGTGAGTTGATGGTGTGTGGGTTGAGGGCAATGGGGCTCAGCGCCCCCATCCTCCCCACCCACCACCCCATCGGCCCCTACCCCAACCACCTCCCCATCCACGACCCCACCTGTGGGGGTCAGCCAGAGGACCTGGGTCAGCATTGGGGTAGGCATCCGGCTCGGGGAAGGCTGCAGCTGGCTTCAGCAACACAACCAAAGCCAGCAGTAAGGCCACACTAAAAATAAACTGAAATGAGAGAAAAAGAGTTTGGTGAATATAACATGGAGTCGTAGTACTCTTTTTGTGATAACTTATCGGTACAGAGAAACATGTATTCACTTTTCCTGAGATAACCGTAAAAAAAGAGCTTTGAAACAACAAAGAGATGTGTTCAAATAGTCAAAAACGTACACTGAAGCTCACACACACACATACCCGAGCTGAGAGGTATGAGCTACGAGGAGAGACTACGGGAATTAAACCTCACTTCGTTGGAAGACAGAAGACTTAGGGGGGACATGATCACCACATTCAAGATCCTCAAGGGAATCTACAGGGTTGATAAAGACAGGCTGTTTAACACAAGGGGCACACGCACTAGGGGACACAGGTGGAAACTGAGTGCCCAAATGAGCCACAGAGATATTAGAAAGAACTTTTTTAGTGTCAGAGTGGTTGACAAATGGAATGCATTAGGAAGTGAAGTGGTGGAGGCTGACTCCATACACAGTTTCAAGTGTAGATATGATAGAGCCCAATTGGCTCAGGAACCTGTACACCTGTTGATTGACAGTTGAGAGGCGGGACCAAAGAGCCAGAGCTCAACCCCCGCAAGCACAACTAGGTGAGTACACGGAGGAGGAGGATCTAGAGCCTGGTATCACACTGAACCTGACTCCAGAAGCCCACATGAACAGGATATCATTAGTGGCATGTGTAAGGCTAACAAAAGTGCTGCATTTAGATATTTATGTAACGAATCATTCAGAACCTTGTATACAACATATGTCAGAGCAATCCTGGAGTATGCAGCCCCAGCGTGGAGCCCGTACCTAGTTAAGTACAAGACGTACCTAGTTAAGAACAAGTTGGAGAAGCTTCAAAATAAGGAATGCTACGAGACTAGGTCCAGAATGATGAGGTATGAGTTATGAGGAAAGGCTTCATGAATTGAGGCTGATGTCGCTGATATACAAGAGAGTTAGGGAAGTCGTGATTAAAACCTGATGCATCTGTTCACCTAGCAGTAAATAGGTTCCTGGGAGTTATGGCTGCTACGGGCTGCATCCTGGGGATGTGTGTGTGTGAGATATGTTATAGATATGATAGAGGAAAACAAGTAGGGAATCAGTGTATTAGACAACCGACGGTTAGAAAGGCGGGTTCCAAGAGCTAATAGCTTGATCTTGCAGGCACAAATAGAACTCACACACACGCACGCAATCAGTGTTTGCAGTTGTTGTTGTTGAAGATTCAGCTACTTGGAACAAACGTTCCAAGTAGCACGGGCTATGGTGAGCCCGTAGTGGACTTTGGTGTTTGCAGATAATGCAAAACTAATGAGAAGAATCATTCACTGATTCATACTGTTTTTCACTCACGCTCTCCTAATGTTCCATGCTCTCTAAAGGGCCTCCGACAGATAATGATTACAGTTGTTCCAACTAGAAGGTGACAATACGGAATTTATTATTAATCAAGTGCACATATATAAGGCTAAGAAAATCTAGTCAGACTTTTGGAATATCTGGATATATTATCCATCACTCGATTTGAAAAGGCTAAGGAGAGTTTGACTAAAATTATGAAAAGTAATGAGCTGCTTCAGACTTGAAACAGATGTCGTGTTAAGTCTAAAGTGACAGCCTTGTTACTCACAAGTTTCATGGCGAAGGCTCAGACCTAGAACAGTTCCTTCAGTGATTCCAGAGTCCTGCTGGAGTGCTTCTGACGAGGCGTGGACTGAATTGAGAATATATAACAAGTCCAGGGACCCCTCCTCCTAGTGGACCCCTCCTAATGGGCCCACCTGGGCGAGGCCACCAAAAAAAAGTCGCATTGCCTTTCTAGTTGCAAGTTTGTCTCATACCAACCTGAGACTAACTATTCCCACACAACAGCTGGTTCCAGCAATTCCGTCATCAGCAAAATGATATCAAATCCTTCCCAGAAAGACAAAATACTGAATTCTCGTCTCCAAGAAACACTTGGAGACGAGAAATGCAGCATCAAGATGAAATGCTATACTACGAATCTTTCTGGGAAAGACGTTTCGTTATTAAAACGAAACAAAAATAACTTACAATACGTATCGCCCGCCACGCAACTCTTCACTCAGTTATGTAAGTTTCCAAAATGTTTGGGTTCAGATGGATTCGTATAAGTGTTTGAAGCATAGAAGCTATGACACATTTACGCATGTATAAATTTGTCACAGTATTATTGCTTATGTTTATATATATATATATATATATATATATATATATATATATATATATATATATATATATATATATATATATATATATATATATATATATATATATATATATATATATATATATATATATATATTATATATATATATTATATATATATATATAATAATATATGTATATATATATATTTATATATATATATATATATATATATATATATATATATATATAATAATAATATTTGTATATATATTAATAATATATGTGTGTATATATATATATATATATATATATATATATATATATATATATATATATATATTATAGCAGTAAATATATATATATATATATACTGCTATATATATATATATATATATATATATATATATATATATATATATATATAAATATATATATATATATATACTGCTATATATATTATAGCAGTATATATATATATATATATATATATATATATATATATATATATATATATATATATATATATATATATATATATATATACACACACACACACACACACACACACATACACGGCCGGTCGAGCGGACAGCACGCTGGGCACGTGATCCTGTGGTCCCGGGTTCGATCCCGGGCGCCGGCGAGAAACGATGGGCAGAGTTTCTTTCACTCTATGCCCCTGTTACCTAGCAGCAAATAGGTACCTGGGAGTAAGTCAGCTGTCACGGGCTGTTTCCTGGGGTGTGTGTGGAAATTAAAAATAGTAGTAGTAGAAACAGTTGATTGACAGTTGAGAGGCCTGCCGAAAGAGCAGAGCTGAACCCCCGCAAGCACAACTAGGTGAATACAACTAGGTGAATACACGCACATACACAGATAGGTAAGGTAAGTACACATACACAGATAGGTAAGATATGCACACATACACAGGTAAGGTAAGTACACATACACAGGTAAGGTAAGTACACATACACAGGTAAGGTAAGTACACATACACAGGTAAGGTAAGTACACATACACAGGTAAGGTAAGTACACATACACAGGTAAGGTAAGTACATATACACATATGGGTAAGATATGTACACATACACTAGGAAAAGTTCCGAGGTATACAATACATATCATGTGACTCCCTCACACCCTCTCCCTCACCCGCTGAGCAAGTGTTGTCCACCTGAGCATACGCAGTGACCTGCCTCCTCCCCCGCCTCACCTCCCCCCCCCCGGCCCCAGCATGATAGAAACTGCCTCAACAGAGAACAGAATAACAAAGACAAAACATCAATGTTTGAGTCTCATCAAAACATGCTTCAAAACGGGCAGAAGAAACAAAATAGCAATCGTAGTTAAGAATACAATTGGAACACTCAATAATACAATACCGGAATGTAAGGAAGCAACAACAACAGATGAGGAGAGGCGCTGAAGGTCATATAAACAACTCCTTTGTTGTGATCAGTTGTGAAGGGAAAAAATACAACTGGACAATTACACTCAGACATCACAATAGCTTGTTGACCGGACCACACACTAGAAGGTGAAGGGACAATCGACTTGAGAATGGTCCAGGACGGACCGAAACGTCGTCGTCCCTTCACCTTCTAGTGTGTGTGGTCTGGTCAACATACTTTAGCCACGTTATTGTGACTCATCACAATAGCGTGATGCATCAAATGATTAAATGGCGCGTCTGTGATCATCTCGGAGGCAGGTTCGAACCCTGATCACGGTCCTGGTGGATTTGTTCAACTGGACAATGTTACTGGCATCAGTGTTGTTGTTAGTTGTGATCAACAACCTTCCTGTGACTGGCAGCAAGTCTGCTAGTAACGGGGAACTGTAATTGTGGCCAAATTGATTGGGAATTAATGGATCTTAGAGTGGGTAAAGGGACGAGGTTACCTTACCTATCGGGGGTCAAGGTTCCCGCGGCCCGGTTTCTGACCAGGCATCCTGATTGATGGACTGGTCAAGCAGGCTGTTCACAATCCTTTTAATTTGATTTGATTCCAATGTTTGGTTATGATATCATATTTGTACCATTTTTTTTTATCCCAAGAAAGGAATATATTGTGTTTTTTCACTAATCTAACTCATCAATGCAGCGTGAACACATTTGCTATTTTGTAATTTGTTTTATTTTATTATTCTCTTTTGTTTCATTATTTTGCAACTTAAGATATTTTATGGCAATATTATGATAATTTGCTGTCATCCTAATGAGGTTAAACCTCTTCTCTCCTCTAAGGTGATGAATAAGACTCATCATATGAAAGATATTCATCATGAATATTACGTTATGAATCTATTTCATCACGATATATTCGTATATGGTATGTTCAGAGCCAGTGAAATTAGTTGCCAGTTATGAGTATTATACTTATTCGAATATGCCTAGAAAATTAAGTTTCTTTTCTCTATAAGACTTTATGATAAATATCAGTTACTGATTATACATTATTACGCACCTGTCTGCACTCCGCTTGTGTACAGGGAATTGACTGGTTAGTTCCAAGCAAACACACAATGTAACTGTCCCTATTTTCCCGCTTGTTACAACTTGTAATAAAGTTGTTACATCTTGTTAAAACGTTTTCATGACGTATTAAAACGTTGTTACAACTTGTTAGGTTGTTAAAACTTGCTCGAAAGTTGTAGTTACGTGGTTTAACAGGTTATGATAGTTGCAAATTTTCTTTAATAAATTAGAATCATATTTAACATTATCACTATTAACTTTATCCATTCCCAAGTTCATGATATCCATTTCTTTCGTTGAAGTCCCTTGTAATATTTCTTAGATCAATTCATGTGGTTATTAAGTATTAATAACCCCATGAATGGAGTTATTTAAGAGTTATATCTTAAACCAGGACCAAATAAGACACCAGATTAGAACTTATTTCATTTATTGCACCAACTGTATTTCAGGTGATTATCCAAAGAACAGTCATTACATATATTTGTAAGATACAGCAGTGTTAGCACTCGGTTCTATTTGGCAGATGATCCACTTGACTATGATGGCGAGTGGAGTGGGTGAGAGGGGGCTGTTTTTTCTTATGGAGTTTGGGGGGGGGTTTAATCAACGCCCCCATCCCCAACCACCCCAACCCCTTCCCCAACCTCCCCAACCTCTTCCCCAACCCCCTCCCCAACCTCTTCTTCCCCACCCCCAATGGGGGTCGGGGTCAGGCAGAGGTCCTGGGTCAGGAATGGGGTCAGCAACCGGAGCAGCATCCGGCCCGGGCAAGGCTGCAGCTGGCCTCAGCAACACGACCAAACCCAGCAGTAAGGCCAAACCTAATGTACACTGCAACCAGGGAAAGATATCTTGGTTAATATTAATACTTCATCAGATATAAAATATTAAAACAAATTACACACACAAACATATACATAGACACACACACACACACACACATACACACACATGTGACGGTTGAGAGGTGGGACCAAAAAGCCAGAGCTCAACCCCAGCCAGCACAATTAAGTGAGTACAATTTGGTGAGTACACAGGGGTTAGGGAATACCATCCTGATTGGAAACATATACGTATAGGGAGATGAGGTCTCAGAACGAGGCAGAGTCACAAGTACTAAAAGGCTCAGTTCTTGGATCAAAGCGTCTATTGTGGATATTCATATATGACCTCAATGAAAAAAGTTGATGTATTCTGGCAATATTTGTTTAAGATACAAAATGAATTAAAGTTATAACAAAATATATTTATCAATAGTTTGAGAATGACTTTATAAGCTTCAAAAATGATCGGATAAACAGATGATAATATTTAACCCAGAGGAAACAAATGATAATTTGGAGTGAACAAGGAAACCCATTTACAGTGTAAAATTATAGAAAACTACTCCCTTAAACATAGAAAACTACTCCCTTAAACATAGAAAACTACTCCCTTAAACATCAAAAATAAATAAATCTGAATGTTTATATAACCTCTATCTAGCGCCAGAGGTTCAATAACAATAACACAACATTTACCAGCAAATGTAAAACAAATATAATAATTACATTTTCGACCAGAGAAACTGTATTGTACACGCCATACACGGGCTCCATACTAGAGTATACTGCCCAGGGGTGAAACACCACTTAGAGAAATAATACTGTAAAAGTTCATAGACATAGCTGAGGCTCGTACTAGAAAAGCGGAGATTAATCTACTACGCAAAACCTAGAAAACCTGACCACACTTGGAGACGGAATTGAGGAGATATGGGAAATGCATATAAGATTATCAGGGGGAAGTTATATGATGACGATTTTAATATGTGTGTTTGTGTGTGTGTGTGGGTGGATGGGTTGTATGTGGGTGTGGTGTCAGTATGGTGTTTGTGTGTGTGTGTGCTGTGTGTGTGTGTGTGTGTGTGTGGGTGGATGGGTTGTTTGTGGGTGTGGTGTCAGTACGGTGTGTGTGTGTGTGTGTGGTGTGTGTGTGTGTGTGTGTGTGTGTGTGTGTGTGTGTGTGTGTGTGTGTGTGTGTGTGTGGGTGTGTGTGTGTAGGTGTATAAGGAAGGGTGAAAAACAAAGTGAAATAGATAGAAACTTGAGGTGAAGATGAGTGGAAGGGACAGTAGAAAGTAAATGCTTAGCGTATAACTGACCGCTGGTAAGTGGAGACTCTAGCGTCATAGAGCTTTCATCTCCAAGCTCCGTCACTAAATGAACTCCATCAATTAGATGATGGTGTTCTAACACAGTGTTTTCCAAAACCATTAACACAGAT